GGGCGAAGTTTGGTGTTTTTGCAGCGCCTCCCCTTCCTTCCCCTCCCTCCCGTTCTCCCATGCAGGCTTGCCCAAATCATATGCCAGTATCGCCAAATCCAAGCTACGGTAAACGTGACAAGCGCCTTTGGAGTGATGTGCCTGTTGAAGCTCTTGAACATATGACTACTTCTGGGGCACGATCAATATGGCCGTGGCGTGCAAGTTTGTTGTGTGCTCTGCAAGCGCAATAAGCCGTGACAGTGCCGCTTGTTGCCTTTCTAACAGTTAGGTTGAAGTACCCAACTCTTCCAAAGTGCTGTGAAAACATCAGTTTGTGCATTTCTCCCGCAAAGAACAAGCTTTAAAACAACAGCAAACTTGTATTGCTCGTATTGCTCTTGATGTGGATTGTGGAGAAATGCGCTATTCTGCAGCATCTTGGCAGGGATAATTGTAGTTCTGTAGTGTTGACTGAAGTGAGTGTGAAGTGTGGAGAGAATCGGAAGATGCTTATTGTGCCCCATTACTGCCGACATGAACGTTGAAAGCCACGCCAAACCTGCCACACAGAACTGTTCGGACGCTGACGCATGACATGGCCCATCACCAGAACCCCGCACCTCCTGGTTCAGGTTAGCGACAGCATACCATATAAATGTGCAAGATATTGTCAGCGGAACCACGGCCCTTGTCGGGGTTGCACAGCAATGTCAAACAGCATGTGGCATGGGTGCTTCATATTTATTCTCTCCCTGACTGCTTGAACTGGTGCAAGATTTCCTCCATCGGCAGCCTCTCTCTCAGACCCTGTCAACCACATAGAGAGCTGCCACATGGAAACTATGTAAGCGCAGTGCAAATGAACTGCCGCAGGTTCAGGGCTTCAGCCAACAAGTCCTCGGTGGCTCTTCGAACATTCGGAAACCACTTAAGGTATGGTCAAGGTCGTGTTGCTCGACGACGGTTCCAATAGTAGTAGCTAGCTACTCGGACATACAAGCATATACAAGCAAGAATGTATGCTGGGACAGGTGCCATATTCAGCTGCTGGCTTTCTGGCCTGCGTTTGGATGACGAAGCTCACCATGCAGGATCCGCAAACATCGAGACCGAGAAACACGACAAAGGCTCGGGAGCCGGCACTCGCGGAACCGGCATGTCGGGCTTGTCCTGAAATCTCAACCAGCGTCCCTGATTTACTTGCGCACCAACATGGACGCATGGCGAAGCCCTCCAGGCTTCTTCGTAGTGCAGCCTCCAGCTGTCGAAGCCAGTCCACAATGATACCGAAGCAGACCGGATTGAAGTCCAAGAAGTATCTGCCCTGATGAGAAGTTTCTACATCTTGTTACGTCCTACTACCAGGTTCCATGTCTGACGATCAGTGTCTGCAGTTATTTCGGCCTAAGATGTTAACCAGGCCTCGTCGTCGCGGGGTACACTCTGCACATAGGCATCGCTGAACATATGATTCAAGTAACTTCCTCAAGGTGGGGAATCATGAAGGCAACAAGACAAGCTCGAAAGAAATGCATGCTGGGGCCTTCAATGTGGCATAGAGCCCGCTTTGGAAGGAATAGCAGCTCACCAGAGCAGTTTATTTCGAGGACCTGTCGCTGACAACTGAAGCTGCTCTCGGACAGTCTGCAGGAGCCTTCACTGCAAAGAGCAACTGCCATAATTGGTTGGTGGTACGGAGCTTGGGAAGACATGAACACTGAAAAGTCATGCCGTGACAGCAACACTCTCGTCAGACTGACGCACACATAGCCGGTTGGGAGGCCTCACGGGAAGCTCCAGGGAGGATACTCATCCGCTCCCGCAGCCGATCCAGGCGCTTCCACTCGTTTTCGATCTCGGGATTTTGGATGATGAGCCCAAAGAAGGTCTCGCAATCCGAACAGTATTCAACCACTTGCAGCTGATGTCCAAACGTTTTAGGCTGAAAGCGCAGGTCTTCCACCTTTCCACTCTACACATTCCGGAACTCCACGTGCTCTCTGATATCCGCGCGGAGAGGCCCTGAAGTCTTCTTCTGCCCTTTCTGATTCCTCTTGCCCCAGCTGTTTCCGAATGTATCGCGAACCTTTGCTGTGTTGACGTGAGAAAATCACTATATACTACTCACCAAGCAGGTACTCTTGCATCCTGTGCTCCTTAAAACCGCTGAGGAAAATCAGAGAACACACATATTCAAAGGAACACATATATTCAGCAGGTTCCCGTATAGTATAATCTCACCTGTGGGACATACCGTACATACCAACTGATGTGCAGGCCATCAAGCTCTCCTTACATGTACCATGCAGCGGTCCGAGCGCAACGCCTTTGATCGCTCTGACCGGCACCACTCCTCTCACGTCCACAGCTACACAAGCAGCAGCCGTTTGTCTGTTATATCTCTCAGCTCCCCCTCGCGGCCTCGGTGTCCAGCTTCAGCCGGGCCAGGTCGTCTGAGGTCGCCTGCTGCTCCTCTGAGTGATCTGAGGGCTTTCGCGACCGCGATTTGGGATGGGGAGATTCACGGATTTCCACGGACCGCTGGCCGCTGGCCTCGTCTATTTGCGACCACGTGGTTCGCATCTTCTCACGCTCCGCTTCGATCGAGGCTATCAAGCGCCTGCTGCTCAGACGGCTGAGACAGGCTGCTGCAAGAACCCGTGTCGCCCGAATAAACGTGCATGTAGGTTTTAAATATGCAGCGGAACCACCAACCAAACATCCCAGAGGTGAAAATCTACCCATTGACCATGGCATCCGACTGTTACCGCAGGAATTCGAGAGGTATTGAAAGGTGTGGTAGGATTAGGCCTGGCGGCCTGTCCTCGGCCATGACAGTTGCTGGATGCTCGTAGAAAAAATCTTGCTTGCTTGGCCATTCGAACGGTCGCCTCGACACTGCACTGATGGTGTCCGAAGTCCTACAGTTCTGATCCCTCGCGCTCAAACAGCAGCGATCAGCCGTTGCCTGGAAATTGATCCTTTTGTTTTTAGTTTCCCGAGGGGAACACTTAAAACATGCCGTGCTGTACTCAGCATGGGATCTGAGACTCGCTCCCTTTGCTCCGGGATGTGCTTCAATGACGGTCGGGCACGGTTTTCAAGCCAAGCTGCGATTTGCCGAATCACGGCATTTCGAGGCTTCTCGGTTTCTTTTGCTTTGGCTTTCATCACGGCACGTCAACTTCCTCCGATTCCTTCCACCGGGCGGGTCTGAGAGCGCAAAGCCAGAACAATCTCACGTACGTTCCCTCGATCAGACCGCAGCGCCGAGTCACAGTGTTTTCTTGTCAAGGGCAGGGGAGGGGTCGATAATGCCAATGTCTGCCATACCGGCAATGCAGTTAATTATTCAAAACTCCGCACAGGAGAAGACCAGAAAAAACGCCAGGGCAAACGCTACTACGCTACTAGTTACAATGCAACATAGCTAAGCAACACCACAACACTTCCCGAGCTCCCCAAGTTAAGCGAATGTGGCTGCGGTTAGAGGGGAGACAGGATCGAACATGTAATCCACGTCTTCCATGCATGCTGCCCGCCTGAATGACGACTCGATCAGCGCTTCATTTTCAGTAATCTGTCACCACGGGTGCGATTTTGAGGCAAGTACAGTGATTAAGGTACTTATCGGCGCGCTCCGCGACCAGAAAGTCCATGCAACAAGCACAGTGATGTCAGTTTGCTCGCTGCATGCTTTCGGCAAGCTGACGATTGACGGCTGCAGAGGGACACAATGGCACAACAAACAAGGCGGCAAGGCCCTCTGCTGCTGCGAGGCCGCCACGTCCATGGTGCGGTAGGGCTTCACAGCCGCAGGATGTGTCTCACGGAAACCACAAACTAGATCATCGTCATGTTCAATGCAATGCATCTGTTTGTCTGCTTGAAAAAGGTGCATGTCCGCGGCATGCAATATGCTTTCATCTGACAAATGGAGTTGTTGATGCTTGAAGGAAAACACTACATCGACTCTGGTCATGCAGAAAATCACCTGCGACTCTTCCGATGAGGCCCTGCCGGGCCCTACTACCGTTCTACCAGTATCCGCCTTTCAGTCCTTTAACTCTTGACGCCGAGGCTGGAGATTGTCAAAGTTGTCAAAGGAGCTGCTGTCTTGATGCCCCTCAAGATTGCCCTGTGGCGTAGTGCAACTCTCCGCTGCCACCCTCCGCACGTGATCCCTGAACCTTGATGAGAATGAGTTTCCACCGTCTTCGCATACATGAACTGCGCAGGATTCGCATCGCCATCCGAGATGCGGCACTGTGCAAGATTTAGTGCATTGACTCCGATCCTGGACTGTCCTACGTTCTTGAGGGGGCTTTGTGATCGGCTTTGCTTCATGGGGCAATGACGGGGGCAATGTGGTTCAGCTTCGCATAGTCTTGTGTCAGGCTTGTGTGAATTTACTTTCCTATCTTGCTGGGCAGTCAAATGGCTGTCTGGGCTCATGGCATTTACGCTCTCCGCAAGTTACCTTCTCTCGAGGCTATGCTACCAATGGTGCCTGGATTGGGCATACAGGGTTTTGCTAGCCTGCGTACCCGTTTTTGCATCAGATCACTGTTGTGTGGAGCGACCTGGACATGAATGCTGCCAAGGTGGTTTGCGCTGCCTACTGGGCTTTCGAGAGAATCTTTTCTCTTCCTGTTTGCACAAAGTTGTGGGAACGAGGTTGCCCTGGGACGAGGCACACGTCTGTTGGCCGCCAAAGTACGAGGAGCTAAAGTCCAGGCTGGACTGCAGCCCGACTTCAGCTCTTCGTTTGTCGCCTCCAAACCCACATCGCCACCGAAGGAGCACGGCAGCTGTAGGCACGGGCCGTCGCCACGAGGCCGGTGTGCTGCTTCGTCGAGGCCTGGAACCTTCTCTTCTCCCTTTCCGTCTCTTTCCCTCCTTCGTGATCGCTGCATGATACCTTTGTCTACAGCTGGCTGCAATCCTTCTGTCCTTTGACAGTCAGCGGTAAGATTCGATCTACTCGGTACTACTTGAATCTGACTGAGGGAGAAAGATCACTGCTCTGCCTGCATCTTCTCAAAGGCCGCGGCATGGCGCTGGGCGGCTTCGGCAACGGCCTCTGCAGAAGGGGAAGGTGGGGTTTGGCTTCCTTGACACTTGTCTTGGACAGGTGCTACAGTTACAGTAAGGCTCCATGCTTTAGCACGGCCTTCGGCTCATTCCCGAGCAGTCGTTCAACGACATGCCCATCGCGCAAGACCAGGAAATACGGAACAGCATCCACGCCTCAAGGGCAGAGCACTGGAGACTGCTAAACGAAAAAAGGGGGTTGTAAATGACAACAGCCTCACCATTGAGGATGCAGCGGAATTCACGAGCAGCCTCAGGAATGTCAGTGACATCCACCTGCACCTGGAGCGGTCGACGGGGAACGCACGTCTTGGGGCTGCGAGTAGGAAAATTCTACACTCGACCGAGATTTGAACCATTTTCAGAAAGCGTCCTTCGAATTTCTCGCTAATGTCCTGCCAAAGAGCATTTGGTGAATGCACTGAGCGAGTGGGCCGAACTTCGGCCGGGGAATGGCCACACAACAGCAGCTCCTCCAAGTGAGGTGCGAGCATTCTGCCTGAGCGCCCATCACCCGTGGGCTGTGCTTCACGGATGAAAACCCGCCCACAGCTCTCAGTCGCGAAATGCTTGTCCAATCGCACCCGTTACTAGACGCGCGCCTGTGACGGTGTGGTTCTTGAGTGTTCTTGGCGCTATTTAGTTGCCAGTATTCCGCTGTCGTCAACATTCGTCAGCCTGGCCATGAGCTGCTGCTTGTCGTTACGACCCCGGCAGCAAAGATTTCCCATCCTAGATAGCTCACAAGTACAGCAAGTCTTCGCCTACCGGCTAATGTTTGTTAATGTTTTGTGCCCAGTATGCCCAGTCCTGCTGTTGCGGAATCCACTGGCCATGATTGCAAACATCAAGGACTTGTAGTGCGTGTTTGGCTAAATATACTCCGACAAGGCCTGAGAGTTTGAGGGTTCCTGGCACTGATTTGCGCGTCAACTCACTTGAGTTTCGGTGTTCGCCAGCCCGTGGTTCCAAACAGTGAAATATACCAAGCGCCCTTAAGAATCCCAAGACCACCCCGTGATGCTGACCTGGTACCCCGACACACGCACACGCGCACACACACA